TGCGTGTCCTTGCTTCCACCTCTGTTAGCTCCCTTTTGTTTGAGTTTGCCCAGGAGCTACTTGTTCATCCACAAAGGCCTCCTGTTATTTTTGTCTGACTTCCTTTTAGCTGGGATGCATTTGCTCCTGAGCTTGGCGGAGGTGATTCTTGAATATTAACCAGCTTTCTGGGGCCTGTCTTCCCACCAGGGCTTTATTCCCTGGTACTCTACCAATCAGGTCCCTGAAGAGGCCAGTCTGAGCTCCTGAAGTCCAGGGTAGAGAACTTGCTGTGCACCCTCCTTGCCACCCGTAGGATCTCAAACTTCACCATTTCATGGTCACTGCAGTCAAAGCTGACCTTGAGCTTCACATTCCCCACCAGCCCCTCCTTGTTGGTGAGAACAAGGTCCAGCATAGCACTTCTCCTTGTTGCCTCCTCTATCTCTTGGAGGAGGAAGTTACCATCAACACATTCTGGGCACCTCCTGGATTGCCTGTCTCCTGCTGTGTTGTCCCTCTAAGAGGTATTGGGGTGGTTGAAGACCCTTATGAGGGCCGGGGCTGTGAACATGAGTCTGTTCCTGTCTGTCTGTAGAGGGCTTCATTGTCTCATGTTCCTGGTCAGGCAGCCTGTAGCAGACCCCCACTACAGTGTCACCAGTCCCTGTCCTCCCTTTAATCCCGACACATTCTCTCAGCTCCTCATTCGTCTCCAGGAAAAGCTTCATGCACTCCAGCTGGCCATTGACATAGAGGGCAACAGCCCTGACTCATCTCCCCTGCCTGTCCTTCCGAAAGAGCCTGTATCCTTTCATGGCAACACTCCAGTCAGAGGAGCCATCCCACCCTTTTCTGTAATGTTAGTAAGATCATAATCCTGCAGATGTATGTATTTCTAACCCCTCTTGTTTACTCTCCATGCTGTGTGCATTTGCACAGGGGCATTTAAGTTGGGTCCCTGATGAGGCTGACTTACTGACTGGAATGGCTGCAATTCCTTTCTGCTGCTCTTCAGATGCTCTCCTGCTGACCTGTGGTCCCTCTCCAAGCATCTCGTGCTGGCACTGGCCTCAGACTGGTAGGAGTGGGATGGATTGAGGTTTCTCTCCCCCAGTAACTGTAGTTTAAAGCCCTCTTCACCAGTTTGGCAAGCCTGTGACCAAAGATGCTCTTCCCCTTCTCTGCCAGATGGACCCATCAGCCCCAGCAGTTCAGGTTCCCTGGGGCTCACAGGCCTCCAGTGCTCCCTTGGGCTGCTTTTTTTGCTTTCAGAAAACATGCAGTGTTTTCCACAGCCAGTGCAGTGCACTGCAACATGGACACAGTCCATACTCTTACATGGGGCTGTAGCCTCAGTGTGACCATCTGGACCATCAGCTCTGTCTTCTTAAACCATGCACAGACATTGTTTAATCCAGAAGGGTCTCCATTGCAGGGCCTCTGCAGTCACTGTGACCCAGAACACAGGAAACACCTCCAGTCAAGGACTGAAGGATGCTGCTTACTGATGTGCCCAGAGCAAGGATAACTTGATGCTGTGCCTGTGCTGTTTTTCAGGTGAAAGGCCTAGAGAGTCTTAAAAATTAGATCATATCTCACTGCAGAGGAGGAAAACGTGCTGTGATTTCTGGTGATTGTATGTGGGCAGCAATATTGGTTCAGCATGTTTATTTTCCGTTCTTTCTAGAAGGTTTTGAGTTTGAATTTCAGTGGAGATGAATGGAAAACAAATAAACAGAAATAGTGGGCAGAAGCCCAAGCACATTCAGATGCAGCTGATACATTGAAATTAATAACTGGATGGCTGCCAGGAGGAAGAGCTGTGCTCTGTGTTAATTTTTTTAACAGAGCTGTGATTTGGAATGCACTGAATTGGCTCTCAGTTCCTTTCTTGGAGAGTTAACTGGTGGAACAATCCCTTAAGTATTTGCTAGGGCACTTGCACATGTCTGTTGAGTTACATCTTGTTCTGCACAGCCCTGCTACTAGTTTTAAGCCATGCCCATACCAAGACAGGTGCCCTACAGCCACCAGAGCAGAAAGTATGGGGGCAGTCACCAAGCACTTCAGGGGATGGAAGCTGTTCCCCAGCAGCTGCCAAGCTCTGGTGCTGGAAAAGGCCCAGGATCTGTGGGTGAACTGCAGCAAGCCAGCTGTTCCCTCCTAAGTATCTCTTCTGTGTCCTCTGTGCACATCATCATCCCTTCTGCCATGCAGCCACTGCCCCTAAATATTTTGAGAGCAGCCTTTGCTGTTATGTTTGTTCCTAATCACCCTCGTTGTAACAGCTCCTTAGGGATTTGTTCACAGAGGGGTTTTGCTGAATGTTTTTTGCATTATGAGCTGAGCTGCCCTGGCCAGTGCAAAATACCAGTGAATTAGAGAGCTATCATACCAAAATCCATTTATTGTAACGGCCTCTGCCATTGGAGTGGATCATGAACTCCCCCTTTGGAACATGCAACTTGCTAGATAATAGGGGGATTTGAGTTTTAAGGGTTTTGAAGTTTTTAAGTGAAGCCTAGTGGAAGGTTCTGTCTTGCTGGAAGAATTCAAGTTGCTGGTCCAGCAGTGTGAATTCCTCTGCCCCACCACTGCTCTGATAAAAATGACTCTTTTTACTCTTTGTCACCAGGAGATCACAGTCGCCTCCATTTTACAGACCAGGAAAACTGAGGCAAGAGAGTCATGAGGGAACAGGTTCTGTATAACCTGTCACTTGTTACTGTCCCAGGCAGAGCAAGCCAGAAAGGAGCCACTCTAGCGTGCTGGAGTGCAGCTGGGAGATGCTCTTGGATGCCAGTTGCTGTGGCCAGCTTGGAGCCTGGGCCCAGCAAAAGAGATCCCAAAGCTCCTCTACTGCCCACTTTGCTCACAGAGGGAGGAATTTGGCATAGCTTGACTCATCCTCTTTTCAAATCCTCCTGTGCCATGTGCAGGACATGTTGCTGGCATTTTATTTCACTACAGCTCCTTCTGGAATAAAATACTCCTGCCTGAATAATGGGAACAGATACAGATAGCTGAACAGAAGCCACCTCCAGCTTGCTACAGTTCTGTCTGGGTTACAACCACCCAAAAAAAGACTGTAGGAGAGGCCATGAGCTGCCATGGATCCAGGCCTTCTCCTGCTTCCCCATTTGCCACAGACCACAGGCATGCCCAGAAAACTTGGAGCTGTTACTCAGGCATAAACGTGCAGCACGGGTGGTCCAGCCAGGTAGGAAAAGGAGCAGTTTGGTTGTGCCCAGCAGGTCTGGACTGTGCTACTTTGGGTAGCCAGCAGGCCCTGGCAGGCTGAAGACAGATCCTGGTCACTCAGAAGTGTGTGGGTGCAGTGACAACCCTGGGGAACACACGGTGACAGGAGGGGAGAGGTGAAGCTGGAGCTGGGCAGGCAGTGCCGCTCAGGTCATTAAATATTGACGCTGTCTAAGCTGGCCTGTGGGGGCGATTTAGCTGAATTGCAGGTTTCTGTTGCTGTGATAAATTGGACCAATTTGTCATGTGGTTTTGTTTCTTCCCTCCCTTAAGTAAAGCTGTACAGGAACGTTATTGCTACAGCTCCATCAGCAGCAAACAATCTGGAAGACAAAATCCTCTGGTGGATATGGATAAAATGGAAGGGACGATGACTGTTCTTCTGCCAAAGGTGCCACCAAAGTCATGGAGCAGGAAGAAGGCAGCAAAGGGAACAAAACAAACAAATAAATCAGCCCTTCCAGAGACAAATACAAAGCAGTGTCCTCTGCTGGCTCTGGCAATTGAGGAAAATTCCTGTTTATGCAGACAGATACCTTGTTTTTCATCTTTAGCTGTAACTGGACTCTGCAAACAACAGGATGCCCATCTCCAGCAGAGACACAGGCATGCGCTGTGACTGTGCTGCTACATCCAAGGGCGTCTCCTGGCCTTCCAGACTGGCTGTAACAGGAGCTCTGAGCTGAGGACAGGAGATAACCCTGATGCTATTTCACCCCTTACCTCCGAGTCTTCTACTGCCGATTTCCATGGGAGCAGAATCTGGTACTAACATCTGCTTTCCACTGCAGAGTATCACATGTATTGAGTTCAGGGAGA